AACGGAAGCGCAACAAACGACTACAGCGCGACAACATCAATAAGAGGAGAGGAAGATCCGATAAGTGCATATGCAAAAGAAAGGTAAATACCATATTTTATAGCCGTCAACCAAGTCTGTTAGACAAATTAACCACCTCCAACGCACACGAAAAAGAAATGGAATTGGAAAAAAATTATACAACCTCATTAACGCTTTCTGTTCCCAGAACCAAAAAGGTTGCCACGAAGAAAGATAATAGCTAAAATAGAAAATGAATAGAACGGTTTACCATGTGAAACGCCTGAGTAACCTTGAAGAAAAATTCGAAAAGGCCAAAAAGAATATAAATAATGAAGAAAAAGAAAATACAGATAAAACACAAGACAGCAACAAACCGCCTCTCCAGTCCGTAAAAGTACAGTCCAAAATCGGTCTAAAAGACTAAAAAGAGGACTCTTAATAGGAAACTTCCCGGGAAAAGGCCTGAAATCTCGGGTTGTTGGAGAAAGGTAAATGAAGAAACAAGATCCCATCCAAATATCACATAGCGCCATTCACATGCAAGGCAAGAAAATAAAGCAAAATCAAGATCATACAGGCAAGAAACAACAGTGGTATATTTCATGCATAAAAAGAAAAAAAAGAGAAAAGAAAATGAACATGCACACAAATATCCCATTAGAGAAAACCACAAAGCTGCGTCGTAGAAGGGAACAAAAAACCAAACGTGAGAAAACGAAGATTTTGGTTAATGAAATGGCAGATTCCCGCTCCAAAACGACATTTTCCTCCTCCTCCTTCTGTTTCTCGACTTCTTTTTTTATGGCACACGGACGTTTTGTTTTAGGAAGGAGACAGGGTTGGGCAGTGACGAAAAAATCGGTCCGCTGGGATTTTTGCCATTTATTTCGTCGCGATTTGAAAATACAGTCTATACATCTCCATTCTTATATCTCATGTTTGCAAGATGGTATATTTTTGTTTTGCGGGGTTGATATTGCGGTTCTTCTGGGGGACGAGAGGTGGAGAGAAGGGATGTCTGACCGGGTGAAAGAAAAGGGTCGATTCGTTTGATATTTAGCCTACCGTTCGACCTCCAGTGGCGATGGCCTGGCTACTAGTCCTGGGGATGAGCGAGGGTCGAAGTGGCCCAACAGGGCTGTATTCCGAACCAACAACTGTATGAGAATTGATGTCATTTTGTGAAGTGTCCCATGATTCATCGCCTAGCACTGTCAACCAGTTGGTTCCAACTTCGTGTTTCAATGCTTCGAGTCGTTGACGATACGAGTCCCCGTTGGCGCTCCAGTCAAGACTTTGAATAGCAGGGAGTAAATTGGGTCTCTTTGTGGACTCAAAGATAGGATTACATTGCGATTCTTTGGGGGTGGTGAAAGTAGTGATTGTGGTTCTCTGAGGTTGTTTGGCATTGGGGATTTTGGCCGATATCTTGTATGGACTTTTAAGTTGCTCAGTCGTAGATGCGGGGTTTGTAACAGGGTGTTCGGGAATAGGTTGTGGGAAAACAGTATTAACGGCTTTAGCGCCATCGGCCGCCATATGAAAAGGATTATCGTCGGAAAGCTCGACGATTTTTCGTCTGTAACTTTTTTTCCGCCTGGTAGAGCTTATTGCCTGTTCCGCGTGAGCTGCAGCGACGGACCCTGATGTACCTGCACGAATCGCAGCTGCTGACGATGTGGTAAGCGGAATATCTTGGGTCTCATCCGCAGGATCATCGCCTGGTCCAGAGTGTCGAACAACGGGGGCTCCTTCCGGTTCTGCAACACGAGCGACAAGTTGTTTCCGTTCTGTATATCCAGGACCGGTGGTATCAATGATAATGTCCTCAGAGAATCCTGGCGTTTGTCTGAATAGATTGAATATGGAAACCCTGTATTCAGAAAATGTTTTGGTGAAGGGATTCCCAGAGACCCAGATCTCACGTAGATACGGTATGCCAGTTAATCTGGCAATTTCAGAGGGATCACTGAGTTCGTTGTCTCGCAAATCAAGGCGCTCCAAAGACAATAATCGTTCGATGCCTGCGAGGGATCGGAGACGGTTTCCTCTGAGATTAAGCGCAGTGATGGCAGGGAGCGGGTTCCTAGAAAGAGAATGGAGAGAGTCTATCATACAGTGAGATAGGTTTAAAGACCTCATAGCTGTCAAGGATGCAAGGCTATCTGGGATCTCGGTGAAAAGATTCCAGGACAAATCCAACGAATGGAGAGTATTAGCAACAGGAGCAAGACTGGCAGCGCTGACACTTGTCATCGAGTTGTCTGTCAAGCTAAGGTGGCGGAGGAATCGCCATTTGGATGGGGGAAGAATGCCAGCAGCCAATAAATTAGACATGCTTCTAGTCCTGTAGTGGGATGAGGCGTCACTAGAATTGGAACTCCCAGATCCAGATCTCTTTACTTTGGAAGTTGTTCCTCTGCGACGAGACTGCTGTTTTGAACTATTGGGCCGCGTGGGCGAAATGCTTTCTGTCCGGGCAAGTCTTCTCCCACCTTCAGCGAACCCCCTGGTCATCGAGGTGCTGGCCTTCGGGCTGGAGCTTGGGCTGGAGCTCAGATCTGCCACTGGCGACCCAGGTGTTGAAATGGATTTTGCCAGCTCCGATTTATTGGATGCCTGCCCGTTAGGAGAAGTAAGAACTGGGGATGATTGATATTTAGAGGATCTCCGTCTCCGCTTGTCAAGGTCATCCAAAACGATCCCGGTCAAGAGGTCCGCAGGATCATCAATACTGGCACGCTTGAGAGTAAGGGATCTTAACTGTTCAGCTAAGCGATCCCAACCACAAAAGGAGCGGAAATCTACATCGATAATCTCCAGAGCACTGAGGTTTTTAAACGAATAGAGTGGGACAGCAGTGTCAAAGGGGAACTCCTCGTATCCATGAATAAGACGAGCTCTGTGATCCGGGGAAAGCCTCAAAAACGGGATTTTAGTGAACGCAGAATACAAATATTTCAGGTCATTCTCAATGGCGAGTTTGGCCTTTTCCGACTTGGAGACGGGGTCTTTAGATCCGAGGCCAAATGAGGACCAGAGCGAGCTCATACTGGACATGACACTACGCACACTGGATACCGAATGGATAGAGTCTCTGTCTCCAGCGGAGCGACGTGGCTTGCTCAAGAAAGACACATATGCGGACGAAGCCTCTGTATTGATGTTTTCCAAGCGAATGTTCATAGGACCAACGGGAATAGAAATATCCTCAAACCGGGATAATAGATAGAAAAGATGGTGGCCAGTCAGCGTGAGTTTTGCAGGCTTAATGTTGTGGGATGTGAAACTCAGAGTGCCTAAGGAAAACGCAGCAGCCAGAGTGGAAGAGGTGGCGGAACGAGTGGAAGAGTCGGATGTCTTGGAAGATTGACGCTTCATTTGCAAGGCGTTGGCGAGGGCCTTTTCATGAGTACGGACAAAGCTGGCCAGATTCTATAAACAAATTAATCAGTTAACATGTAAACATAAGTCCTCGACGAAGGAATGCGCCCCGAAGGGGGATTGCAGGAAACAGGGCGCTTACCTTAATGAAGAGCTGGCCATCTTCAGTGTTTAGTTTCTCCATAATGACGAGGTCACTGCCCAAGGAGTTCTGGGAACAGTGTCCGGAAGAGAGATAAAAGGGAATAGCTCACTGACCGAACAAGGGTATGTGTGGGTGAGAGGACATTTTGAACAAATCTAAGCGGAGGGGGTGTGGCCGTGTTGTTGCAGCCAGGAAATGCGATGCGAGCAGACAGCTGCCACCAACACCAAATATCTTGATGATCTTGGGACCAGTTGGCGCTCTCCAATGCATACACACTTACACGCACACAACAGAGGCTTTTGATGACTTTTTGGTGACTGAACCGCCAAGGGGGTTAAACAAACAGGAAACTCGAGGGCCGGGTTTCAGGGAACGCGTTGAGAAACGAGGAAGTGAAGAACCAAATGGAAGAACCAAATTGACGACACAGGAAGATTATGGCAAAGGCCGTGGGACACTGGTCAAAAGGTCACCTCTTTTGAGTTCATGTGCACAGGGAGAAACTGGGCGGGGTGTTTTTGGGTTTGGTCACCGGGACAGTCCCAAAGGAAAAAGGTTCAGCAAAACAAAAACAAAAAACAAGGCAGAAGAAATTCAGGAGGAATGGTGGAAACGGACGCCCGTCTCTGGCCAGAGAAGATGGAATTTCACAAGTACAATACAAATACAATCAATCCAAGCACGATGCTGGACCGTGGGCAAACAGGGGAGAGAAGAGAATGCCAGAGAATGGAAGGAATTAGGTTGGTTGACTCAACTAGGGAGTCAACATGGAGGGGGAGGATGGAGAGAGGGAAGAGATGATGGTCCCAGGATGATTCCTCCAACCGACCGGTCCTCTGTTCACAGGGACCCAGGGTAAGAAAAAGAGAACAACAGGAAGAGAAGAGAAAGAAGAGACGAAGCAGAGGAAAGGGGACGAGGCGGGAAAGATAAAAGAGGTGCACTCGTCACAGCGTCGTGGGCTGTGAGTGCTGATGCTCGCGCTCCACAGTTCTGATTGGGGAACGCCGCGAGCAAGCAGCCAGCCAAAGGGGAAGCCTGCACTGTGCATGGGACGAGGGATTTGTGGATGCAACAGGCTGCATACGGGCAGGATAGCGCCAGAGGCCCTGCCCCCCCTTGGCACTAGCTGCTGCACGCTCCCAACTTACAGCGTAGTGCGGCCTGCTCGAGTGGACCTCTGGCATATCAGCGTCCTCAAGTGTCAACCGCCGTTGGCCTTAGCTTTCTCACTACTCCGTCCCTTATCAGCACAGTTTCTACGACATGAACTCCTGCCAATTCTACGGAGCACTCTGTACTACGTGCGGATTGCTATCTTAGCAGTGACTCCTGGGTGAACAATTTTCGGCTGGTGGTTCGACTCCCATCTGGGCTAGGAACCAAATGATCACCAAAGCAATGGGGTTGGTGGGGGGAAGTTTGGCTGGTCTGTCCAGTGTCCATGGGACCTGGGCTTGTTGTGGCGAGATAAGACGTCCTCAACCGTTAGCCTCCCGGCGGAAGCGAATATTGCCCATCATGGATGAACAGTTCAAAGCATGGGACAATTACCTTCATTCACGCGGCTACCCACTGGAGATACAATGGGAGTTCACGATGCAGATGATCGATCCTTAGATATCAAGATAACGCCCAGTGGCAGCAGTTCTACCCTGACATCTTGTACCCTGCCACCCATTCCCACATGGCCTGCCGATAACGATATCTACCTTACATATTCAATCATCTGGCTCATGGGAAACCTGTGTGTCGATCTTTTTGATTTATTCTTCTTCTAGCTCTCGTCGTCATCGATGTAATCATATCATCAAATTGCGAGATATCGCGGTTAAATTGCGCAGAGAGCGGTCGAAAGTGATGGCTCTTTGTCCTCCGGGCAAAAGAGTTTTGTTTATTATGATTTCCCTCTGACACGGACATTGTTTACAGATGACTCTAGTCACACAACGTTTAGTTAACTTCGGGGCTTTGCCAGACTACCACGGACCAGGACTGTCTTTTTTTTTTTTTTGTTTATCATCATCAACTCGGCACCATAAACATTTTTCCCTAGTTACCTTTGTTGATATTTGGGTCTACATCTGGCTTAAACATGAAATAACATAGCGAACCGTTGTTTGAAGCTTGCTCCGGAGAACCGCCCCGATTCCAGATCAGGATGAAAAGAAATATGGCGGAGCCGGTCCTGTGTTTTAAAACGAACTGGTAGTTAAAACAGATAGGCCACTCAGTATCCATGCATCCTGCCGTTTTTGACGGATTTTGAGTTGGCGCGGTTCCACAACTTGCGAAGTTGAAACGAGATCTTTCCCGCGCATTCCTTGCGCAACACTTCCGGGAGAAGTTAGTAAACAGTAGTCGACATCGGAGTCGAAGTGGATAAAAAATGGCTTGATTCTCCCTAATGATGAATCGTCGGTTTTCACACGATCAGGACAAATGGAGAAAATCCACACCCCACAATTAATTAATTATTCGAGCCGTAGTTTCGCTCGATTGTCGCCCATGGTTTCCTTTGCTTAGATGTCTTTTTAATTTGTTTTTCGCATCCATCCCGGCCCGAGTTCGTTTGGTTCCTGTGGAGTCAAGTTGATTTCGCTTAACCATGGTAAATATTTTCCCGAAGCCATGAAGACGGCAGGTAGAGAGACACAAGAATCCTATCAACCCACCGACCTTAAAAGAAAACACAAAAACAAAAACAAAAACAAAAACAAAAACAAAACCCTACCCGATGACACGGGACGAAAGTGCATACCTTTCCAATTCAATCCGCTCCCGATGGGGGCCATGACGCTCATGGGGCGGCTGGATTCCTCCCCGCTTAAACCATCAAAGATGCATCTTTCATCCTATGGTCACAGACGCCTCAGGCTAATCATAAAGTCTTGGGTAAAGAAAAGGACTTAACGGAGCAATATTTACAAAATGTTTCCGGACACCCAGTTAGATGAAACTGTAAACCCATCCAGGTACAAGCTCTTGACCACACAGCTTTTTCACCGCTCTTGAGAAGAAAGATCCAGCATAACAGCACAAAGCCCATTTCCTATCAGTTATCTGTTAGTTTTGTGTCTTCAACCACATCTACACTGCGTATGCACCAATATTACCGATCTAAGTCCTGCATTTATCAGCTCCATTCGCACATCCAACAGAAACCCACCCACGCAAGACCATCCCTGTGCACCTCCTTATTGGGGTGTCACAAGGCTGCTTTTATGCCGTGATGATGGAAGAGTGGCGAAATACTGTTCCTCAAATGCCATTCGTTGTTTATCAATCACGGTATGCTCGCTAAAGGCTTAACATAGGGATGATATCAGTGAGAGTAAGGAAATATCACATTCATAAAGAAAAGAAACGCATGTCGTCCTCTGCCTTCAACTTTGTTCCGGTGGTGCTAGAATAACGCTTCAAACAGCCCATAAGCTATGGCGCTTGAACTGAATTAACTCGACACTTGGTTAGTTACAGCCCACCAAAGGGGAAGGCTGGTCGATCCTCTTAGTGAGCATAGAGTATCGTCCATCCTCAACGTTAGGTGCAGAATCCCTCCGGCTAATTATGATTCGAATCTCAATTTCTGGCTCTTGAATACATTTATCTGCATATGCGGACCGATTAGTTATGGTCCATTGCAAATTGCTAGCTTTTTTTTTTTGACTTATCCCAACCAAGACGCTACCTGTCAAATCATCAGAACATTCCAAGAAACTCTTTTTTCTTCATTTCTATTCACCGCTAGTGTTCAGCACAGGGGTGCGGTTCTTCCATTTGCTGTTCTTTCGCAGCCATCCATTAAACCGCCCAGGTACAACTCCCCACCAACCCCCGCCTTCACAATCTTTTCCCCCCACGGGTCTGCGAAGGTGCATGATCTACCCTCAACGCTGACATGGGCTAAATCGAATGACAATGCGTAAACAAGCAGTTGTTGAGTTAAACCCTGTCCGAAATCGCTTCAAATGTGGTGCTATTTTTTGAGCAAAACTCGGGTTGCATCTTC